GGAGGCAGGGGTGGCCACGGAAAGAGGCTGCTCTGGGGAAGGCGAGAGCCCGCCCCAGCGCCATCCAGTGGGGTCCAACTGCGCTGCTCAGCTGCGCACCCCCGGCACTGCCCTCCTGCCCACGCAACGGCGCGCAGAGCCGAAAGCAGAGGGAAAAGCACCGAGTTCCCTCCCGAGCCCGCCAGCACAGGGCCGAGCCCCCGCGGGGAGGCAAGCGGGAGATTAGTCCAGAGCCGCGGGAGAATTCCTGAACTCAATTACTGGACTGACATGCGAACGTAACAGCCCGAAATACCGTACATTTCCCCAAGGCAGCAAACACTAGCTGGACAAATGGATGATTTGAAAACCCCAGAGCTACAGAAACTGTGACAAAAATCCTTCGCTAATACTTCACTCCATACAACACCCTCTGGCAGCCTCACGCATCTCCTCCGTGAAGGACAAACCCACCTGAGAAATATTTTGGCACGGCCCCGGGAGCACCTTGCTGCAGCAGAACGGCACTCGTAGCCCTCGCCACGCGCCAGGGCAAAGTGGGGACAGAGCATGCGTGCGCATGGGGGACAAACCACCACGGTGCCCAAAACTGGGTGCTGGAGGCAAGGAAGTGCCAGCGCCGTGGCTGTGCCCCGCTGCTGCTGCACTGCTGGGACTGGGGTCAGGTGCAGGGCTGTGTGGGACCATCGCACCCATCCCATCTCATCCCATCCCATCCCATCCCACCCCATCCCACCCATCCCATCCCATTGCATCCCATTGCATCCCATCCCATCGCATCCCATCCCATCCGATCTCACCTCATCCCATCCCATCCCATCCCATTGCATCCCATTACATTGCATCCCATCCCATCCCATCCCATCCCATCCCATCCCATCCCATCGCCTCGCATTGCATCCCATCCCATCCCATCGCATCCCATCCCATCCGATCTCACCTCATCCCATCCCATCCCATCCCATTGCATCACATTACATTGCATCCCATCCCATCCCATCCCATCCCATCCCATCCCATTGCATCACATTACATTGCATCCCATCCCATCCCATCCCATCCCATCCCCAACAGCGGGGCCAGCATGAACACTGGGTCGGTTATTGCTGCACCGTCATCCTCCCTACAGCTGAGCATCTCTTGTGCTCCAGCGGCCGAGTTAATGCAGCTTACCGGGAAACAGCCTCCAGCTACCAAAACCGCGTGGCAACAAGCTCCGGGGAGGATGGGATTTTTCAAATCCCCTGCTTACACGCTGCTGACGAGGCACCCTCTGCCTCCTTACAGCTTTTAATAACAATATTGACCTTTTCCGACTGTCAAACTTGTCTTATTAAATCCCGAGGTCTTAACTGAATTTGCACACACTGGCTGGCAGTTTGCACAACAGAGCACGTGCCCATGTTTAATTCATCTCCTCTCAGCTCTTCCCGGCTCTCAGCGCTCCTCGGCTCGCGCACAGCCTGTTCTGGGGGCAGGGGTGGCTCTCCCCGGTTTGTGCCGCAAATTTATCACGAAACAAATAAAACTGGCAAATCTCCTCCTTCGTTCCCGAGCTCCTTTGACTTTCAGGCTTCGTGGGACCAGGTGAGGAGTTGCCTTGGGCTGCTGCATCACCCGAAGGCAGGTGATGCCCGGTCCCTGTGGAACCCCTATGTGCTCCCTGCTCCGCTGGGTCCCTGGGGATGCAGCCTGGTTTGTCCTCAGCCAGCTGGTTTTTGGGGGAGCTTTGGGTGAAGGACGGGGAGCTGCCATGCCAGGGCACAGCCATGCGCAGATCCTGCCCTCTGCACATGCCCCCAGTCCCACGGTTTGTGCCCTGCGCTGCAAAACGAGCCCTGCCAGGCGCACGGCAAGAGCGCCGGAGGACCGAGGCACAGCCCTCAGCAAGAGGGATTTTCACAGCTATTTCCCCTGGAGTATTAAAAAGAAGCAATAACAGCCTTCATTTCCAGGCTGATTTCTCCAAGTCCTCTCCACGGTGCAATAACGTCGGCAAACGCAGCCCACGCCGGGCATGTTTACTGCCTTTGCGAAAACCGTCCTCGGGGGGAGAAACTCCGAGAGGAAGAGGCGAGCTCGGCTGCTCTGCCGGGCTGCCAGAGGACCCACGTCCCTCCGTGCTCGGGCACGCATGCGAGGGGTGAGGAGGGATGCAAAGCCAGCCCCTGAGACCCAGCGCCGCAGGCGGCTGCACCCCCGCAGGACACAGCCCCACCGCCACATCCCTCCTGGTCACTGCCAGGAAGGACCGACTGCCCAAACCCCGGACGGCCGGACGGATGCCGCCTGGTTTGTCCTCAGCCAGCTGGTTTTTGGGGGAGCTTTGGGTGAAGGACGGGGAGCTGCCGTGCCAGGGCACAGCCATGCGCAGATCCTGCCCTCTGCACATGCCCCCAGTCCCACGGTTTGTGCCCTGCGCTGCAAAACGAGCCCTGCCAGGCGCACGGCAAGAGCGCCGGAGGACCGAGGCACAGCCCTCAGCAAGAGGGATTTTCACAGCTATTTCCCCTGGAGTATTAAAAAGAAGCAATAACAGCCTTCATTTCCAGGCTGATTTCTCCAAGTCCTCTCCACGGTGCAATAACGTCGGCAAACGCAGCCCACGCCGGGCATGTTTACTGCCTTTGCGAAAACCGTCCTCGGGGGGAGAAACTCCGAGAGGAAGAGGCGAGCTCGGCTGCTCTGCCGGGCTGCCAGAGGACCCACGTCCCTCCGTGCTCGGGCACGCATGCGAGGGGTGAGGAGGGATGCAAAGCCAGCCCCTGAGACCCAGCGCCGCAGCCGCAGGACACAGCCCCACCGCCACATCCCTCCTGGTCACTGCCAGGAAGGACCGACTGCCCAAACCCCGGACGTACGGACCGACCCCACGGGCTCCCAAACCCCACCGCCGTTTCGCAGCAGCACTGCGAGTGCTGGGGGCTGCCCTGAGCCTTGCCGAAGCGGGTTTTTCCTCCTTCACCCCTAGTTCCCGAGGGCACCATCACATTTAAGAAACCCCCAGACCTGCACTGACATCCCTGCTCCTAACGCTCCTCAACAGCGGTCCAGATGTGCGCTCCCACCCACAGTGGGCACTGCAGCGACGCAGCAAAGGAGCATCACCCACCGCTGTGGGGAGACGCCGGAGCTCGGCAGCCCACAGACCTGCAGGTCCCGACCCTACAGCAGTCAAAGGAATAACATCGGCGACACCGAACGCCGGAGTGGGGCAGAGACTGGGAAGCAGCTCCTATCCCAGGAGAGGGAGATGCCGGTACGACCCAGCTCGTTGGGAGAGGGGACAGCCGGGCTCACACAGCACGCAGGCAATGCCGGCGCAGGGGCTGCCCGCAGGGAACTCCAGGAACTGCTCTTCATCACAAAGCGAGCCCCGACCACGTTTGGGAGGGCTGGAAGAGCTCCAGCACCGGCAGAGTCCCGCGTGGGGCTCTCAGCCCGTGCTCCCCAGGCCGGTGCGGCACCCACCTTGCTCTCGTCCGGCACCTCGTAGGCGGAGGTGTGCTTCTTCATGACATCCGGAGCCAGGACCTGGAAGCGCCGTCGGAACTGGGTCAGGAGCAGGCGGTCCGCATACCCTGGGGACAGACAGACGTCGCCGGGGGTCACTCCAGCACCGGGGCACCTGGTTTGCACCGAAACGCCGGGCAGTTAACCGGCAGTGGGGGCGGCTGCGAGGGGTGGCAGAGGTCCTGCACGCGGCAAAAGGTGTCGTGGGGTGGTGGGGACCGGGGGAGCTGCCCTGGATGGAGCAGAACCCCTGCGGCGAGCGCAGGGCGGGGGGGGGGGAGGACGCGCA